TGTAGATTAAGTGAATAATGCCACCATTAATTTTTGAAAAGATAAAGTGTGTATCAATCTCATTGTGTTTGGCCATGTCATGATGCATAAGGTTCGTTGCAATACTAATATCAGCTTGACTGTCACAAAACATCTTTATGAAATTGATTGCAGAGCTTTTCAACTTATTTAGTAACCTTTGGATCCACATTCTTTCACAAATTCCCCAAGTGTTCGGTATTCAGATTTTGGACTAGTTCTAGAGATCACTACTTACTTCGTGACTCATCCATGTGACAAGATTTCGTCATACATGAGAACAATACCTAGATGTGGATGTTTTGTCTGTGAGTTTTCTTGCCCAACTAACATCAATGTAAACTTTTGCTTCCCTATTGTCTAATTTTTTTAAAACAATAACTCTCTTTCAGAGGTCTTTTTAAGATACCTTAATATCTATAAATCACTTCCAAATGTTTTTTCTTTGGACTATTCATATGTTGACTCACAATTCTGACATAATAAATGATATCAAGTCTAGTGTGTGACAGATAGATAAATTTTCCCATCAATTTATGAATTTTCCTTGTTAGAAATTATTTAGTTTCATTTTTGGTTATTTTGCTAATTGTTGTATTTCCTAATTTATGGCTTTCTTTTTATCATGAAATAGTTATTAGAGAGAGATTTGTATTACATATTTTTTCTTGTTTTAGAATCATTATATCTTGTATTTATATCCTTTTCAATAACAATAAAATTTATCTACTCAATTCCTATAGCCTATATGGTATTAGAGCCACAGATCTTACCCTAGCTGCCTGAACTTCCCTGCAGGCTTTCCCTTGCAGTTTTTTCAGCAGCCAGATTTCGTCCCTATGGTCCCTCCTCTATAGTTCTATAGGTTTCAGCCACAAATACCCTTTTATATAAGCTCTTTCGCCACTGGTTGATCCTCTACTGGTTGTTCCACCATCTGACCTTCCTCCTGCTGGCTAGATCTTTTTCCAGGATCGTCAAAGCTCCCTCACGCAGCTAGATCTTTCCCTTGCATGCCCTCTTACTGCCGGAACTCCCTCCTGGCTACTGCAATCTCCTCTCACAGGCCTTATTTTGTTGTCAACTGCATAAGGAACTGTCCACGTTTATGTATCGACACCCAAACCTTAGTTTTGGCTCCATCAGAGTCATGGCGGATTCCTTCACTACCGAGCTTTCATCTGTGTTGTCTTTGAGTCCACCAGAGGATTGACACTTACCTCATCCTCTCCGCAGACCGGAGGACATGACAATCCCATGAATTTTCTGATTATCACTCACAAAATCGACAACTCAAATGTCCTCCGAAGGTCTCAAGCTCTTTCACTGTTCGTCAAAGGTCAGAGTAACTTCGGCCTTCTCACAGGTACGATTCGTGAACCTCTAAAGACTGACCCACCATGTGCAGCTTGTGAAGTGGAGAATTCAATGGTTATGTCACATCTGATGAATTCCATGGAAACCTCGATTGACTGTTTGTATCTATTTATTCCGTCTGCTAGTGCTCTTTGGACTGTTGTTCGAGATACCTACTCGGGCGTAGGAAATTTTTGACAACTCTTTGAAGTTTCTAATAAGATTCATGAGGCAAAACAATGATCAAAGACAACGACACAGTACTACAAAGACTTGATTGCCTTATGGATGAAATGTAACATATACTATGCTTACATGTTGGACTGTCCCACGAATCCTTCCCTCTTCAAAAAAAATTTGGAAAAGAATTGTGTGTTCCAATTTCTGGCCGGCCTAAGCAAGGATATCGATGAAGTCTGCAGCCGTATACTTGGCAGTGATCTTCTTCCTTCAACTTCTGCGGCATTCACCGAGATCCTCCAAGAAGAAAGCCGGAGACTTGTTATGCTCGGCAACTCCACTAATTCAAGCGAGTCTTCAGCCTTGGTCTCCAATAGTGCTCCACACTCTGCCACGCTGTCGTGCACCAATCATGGTGCTCTACACCCCACGTGTGATTTTTGTTACAAACCTATCATACCTGTGGCAAGTGTTGGAAGCTCCACTGGAAGCCGACAAATAAATCATCAATCAAATCTTCCCTTGTTAAAGGTCTCACTACAACCTCAAAATCCACAACAGTTTAGCCGCCCCCCTCTCGAACCATCCCCGAATCATCAGATTCCATCAAGAGTCAGATGAAACACCTAATTAAACAGCTTGGATCTAGTCAGTTTTTTTCTAGCCCGCCAAACTTCGATGTTCGTCAAGGTAACATTTCTATGAAAATCATTGGTTTTACTTCTAGTCTGTGGATTATTGATTTAGGTGTCACAAACCACATGACCAGATGCTCTTAATTCTTCTCGACATATGCTCCGTGCTCCGGACGAGACACTATTAAAATTGCAGATGACTCATGTAATTCTATTCCTGGTAAAATTTTAGTAGAACTAACAGTCGAGCTGACTTTGAAATCCATGGCACACGTACCTTTCCTTAATTGTAACATTTTATCGGTCAGTAAGTTGACATATGACCCTGATTGCGTTCCTTAATTTTCTCCCCATGCCTGTGTCCTTAAGGATTGTCTTTTGGGGAGGATGATTGGAACTGGACTCTATTTGTTTCAAGAAAATGACATTGTTGACGTGGACACTGAATCTCATAGTTGTAGTTTTTACCTGTCTACTGCTTGTCCAATTATGCTTTTACAATATCGCTTGTGTCATCCTAGTTTTCATTATTTAAAACAATTGTATTCTCTGACATTTATTGATAAAAAATCATATACTTTGAAATTTGTCATTCAGCTAAATATCATCGTGTACCATATCCACCCACGGTTACACTTCTTCCTCTCCATTTTCACTGTTTATAGTTATTTATGGAATCTTCTCGAACGATTCTCTCGAACTGCAAGCTATACCAATAAACGATGGTTCCTTACTCTAATTAATGTTCACACTCGAATGACTTGGAATTAGGTATTAAAGGATAATTCTTAAGCTATAGTGATCTTTAAAAAATTCCACTTCTTTATTTTGACAATATCCAAAACCTCTATTCAAGTTCTTTGGACCAACAATGATCGCGAGTACTTTAACTCTATATCGAAAGAATTCTTGGTGAGTAAAGACATCCTTTATCATAGCTCATGTGTGAATACCTCTCAACAAAATGAGATAGCTGAGCGAAAAAACCGAAACCTTTTTGAAGTGGCTCGTTCAATTATGTTCCAAACTAATGACCTTAAATGTTATTGGAATGACGTTGTCCTTACCGCCACTTATCGGACCCCTTTATTCGTATTCATGTCGTGTATTCTTACCAATCGTTTCTTCTCCATTTTAGATCCCAAAATATTTGGGGGTGCACGACCTTTGTTAGGTACACAGCCTTGACTCAGAATAAACTTGATTTCCACTCAATTATGCATTTTCCTCAGCTATTCAGCCACTCAAAAAGGCTCTAAATGTTTTGATTCTACCAACAGTAAAATCTATGTGAGTTCTGATGTCACTTTTTTTAATAATGCCCCTTATTTCCCTAACACTGAAGCGAGGGGGAGCTAGATTTTCTGGACACTGTTTCTTTTCCAACCCCGTTGGATAGTCTACCTACTCCTACAACCATTATATTTGAGGAACCTTCAGTCTCACTTGTTCTGCCACCAACCAGACCAACATAACTTTATCCACTCTCCGTGTCTATACTCAGTATACTAAACCCTCGGTTGAGACTCATCCCAATGCCCCTACACTCGAGCCCGCTGCCTCGCTGCTCCGCTGCAGGTCTTAGTATCTGCTACGGCCGACATCCCCTGAACGATGCTTTCTCAACATATGGGGATCACTCTTGTTCTGAATGAGGAGTTTAATTCCCCCATTGAGGTACTTAAACAATTATGCACTCTTTATGCCATAGTAAAATACATTTCATTCCACAGCTTATCTTCGACTGTACAAAGCATTTGCCACTTCCATGATGGATCGTTACAAAGCATTTGCCACTTCCATGATGGATCGTTGTCTCCTATCCACTATTGAGGCAATATTGGTTGACTCGTAATGGAAGGCTGTAGTCATGGATGAGATGAATGCCTTTTGGCACAACCATACCTAAGATGTTGTTGATCTTCCTTGAGGAAAGAAAGTAGTGAGTTGCATGTAGGTTTTTCAGCATCAAATTTAACTCCGATGGATTTCTTTGAATGCAATAAGACGTGGTTGGTCCCCTAAGGCTACTAACAAATATATGGAATTGATTATGAATAGACGATTGTTCTTGTAGCTATACTAAATACCATTCGGGTTTTGTTATGCCTTGTAGCGAATCTTGATTGGCCCGCACCTTAGCTAGATGTCAAGAATGCTTTCCTTAACGATGATCTCACGAAGGAGGTGTATATGTGTCTCTCACTAGCCTTTGATTTAACCTCTTCCTGTGGACAAGTGTGTCGACTGCGGAAGTCTATTTATGGATTGAAACAATTCCCCTGGGCCTAGTTTGGCAAGTTTGCAAAAGTTGTTGTGGGCCTTGGTTTCTGTCAGGTCTAATTTGATCACACGATGTTCTTTTGCCACTCATTCAATCACTGTATTGCCATCTTCATCGTCTATGTCGCCGATATCTTACTCACAGGTAATGATCAACTGTTCTTGGAATCTCTCAAAGACATCCTGGCCGCATCTTTTGAGATAAAGGACTTGAGTTCTCTTCGGTATTTCGTAGGCATGCAAATAGTTCGGCCCTCTCAGGACATTAGTCTTTCTTAGTGCAAAATCTCTGACATATTTACTAACCGAGACAAAGCTTCTTTTTGGCAAATCAGTAGTTGTTTCGATTGATCCCAATGAGAAATTGACAAACATTCCTTATGCCGTTCCAGTGAACAAGATGCACTGCCAATGCCTAGTGGGGAAACTCATTTACTTAGCTCATACGCACCTGAACACTTGTCATGCTATTTGTATAGTCAGTCAGATCATGCATGATCCTTATGAGCACCATCTTATCGCTGCCCATCTAATCCTCCACTACTTAAAAGACTCACCGAGCTCAGGTTTGTTGTTTTCTCATCACATCTCACGCTCGATTGCAGTTTATACGGATGCCAATTGGGGCGGGTTCGTCCATGATCAATGATCTACCTCGATTTATTGCTTCTTCATATGGGAAAATCTTGACACATGGAAAAGTAAAAAATAGTCCGTGGCTGTCCTTAGCAGTGCTGAATCCGAGTTTTGTTTTTGGTATGTGAAGCTCTCTGGTTGCGCATCATGCTCCACGAGTTAGGTATGCCAGTCTCCATTCTTTTGCAGTTTTTTTTGTGACAATAAAATCACCATCAATATTGCCCATAATCTGGTCTAACATGATCGTACTAAGCATGTGGAGATCGACTGTCACTTTATCAAGGCGAAGCTTAATTCAGGAGAAATTTATGTTCCTTTTGTCCTATCCACAGAACAACTCTTATATATTTTTACAAACAATATTCCTTGACCATTATTTAATAATTTTAAATCCAAGTTGAATATGATTGACATCTATGCTTCAACTTGAGGGGAGTGTTGCAAATTTATTTAGTTTTCTTTTTAGTTATTTCCTATTTCTTGTATTTCCTAGTTTAATACTTTTCTTTTATCATGGAGTAGTTATTAGGGAGAGATTTGGGTATTATATTTTTCTTATTTTAAAATCATTGTATTCTGTATTTATACTCTTTTCAATAGCAGTAATATTATCATGTTCAATTCCCAAAGCCTCAATGGTATCAGAGCCATGGATCTTACCCTAGCCGCTGGGACCTTACCCTAGCCACCAGAACTTCCCTGCAGGCCTTCCCCTGTAGTTTTTCAACCATCGGATTCCCTCTGTCGCCTCTCCCCTGCAAGGTTCATCCGTCGACACCCTTTCCTACAAGCTCTCCAGCCGCACAGAAAGTGCCTCATAGCTCCTAGATTCTTGATTTCAAATTTAATGGCAAGAACCTCCTTAATTTTCCCAATCTCTTTTTTATCATCTTCTATCGGGATCGTATCATTTAAATAGATAATGGTATAACTTTCTTTCCTCACTGTGCTTGCTTTATGAATAGTGTATGATCTGCTTAACATTGGATGTACCAATTAGATTTTATAGTATTGACAAACTTATCAAGTTTACTACATGGAAAGCAATATCGTTAACATTAATCATGTTTCCTCAGCGAAGTTCGTCAACAAATGAAAAACTATGGAAACTCCATGTTATAAAAATCATAAAAAAAGGATGATTGACCTTGACAAAAAAAAGTGGCTTAAACAAGCAACAAACATTTGACCTTAGTTTGATTGCATAGCACTACCAAGAGTCACCGGGGCACTTAGTCTATCTGGTACTACATGAATAAGGTTTCTTCTCTCTCCCATAAAAGGAAAAAAAAAAGAAAAAAACAAAGTGTGTTAATTAAATAAGAGAAAATGGGCAATTTGATACCTTACCGATGATATCCTTGAACAATTGGTTAGATCAAGAAACTGATGGAGAACACCATAATTAGACTTTAAGAAGCTTTATATAAAGCTTTTAAAGGATATACATGGATACTAAACAATTGATGGACTATTGATTGGCTGTTCAAATCTAAAGCGCAGCCACAATCACTAGCTTTGATGCCTCAAAATTTGTGGAAAGCAGCTCGCATGAATATACTCGGCAAAGATTACAAATGTTACGGGAATTATAAATTGTATCGCCATGAATTTGTTAATGTTCTTATGATTGGAGATTATGTAAAAATGTTGAGAAGCATGTTCATGGTTTGTAAAGGTTATGAAAATAAATAAAGTTGAAGAATTTCAATCTGTATATCATTTTTAGTGGGTAAAGCGGGGAGTGCAGTGAGTTAGTTTCATGATAGAGTGCAAAGGATCAAGAACTGAGAGAGTGAAAGAACTCGACTTTTATTCTTGTCCAATTGTAATCATGGGTTAATTTACTGATTGATGTACTTTCAAGCACCGAACTAATGCTTCTTCATGCTTGATATGTTGTAGTTTTAGATCTTGCTTGAGAGTCCATTTTTTTAGTTGGCTCTGTGCATTTTTATTTATTATTCAAAGCAAATGGTAATAAGCAGAACACTCTTTGATGGGGCACAAAAAGAAGTTAGGATGCCATTGTACACTGAGATTCCATTTTTTCTTAAGCTGGCTCGGCGTATCTATTGTGGAAAACTCTTTAATTTTTAAAAGAAAGAAATATTCCTATCTGACTTATTATAGACAATTCGAGCATCATATAGTGTTAGGCATCTTAATTGTGGTTGTAATGGGACCTTTTAGTGTCAGGATGGAAGGAAATTTGTTGATTGTTTAGTACTGCTTAATGGTTGAGAAATGTAACGAGTAAAGAAATTGGAAGTGGAAACTTAGTCGTTTCAGCTTGTTGCTTGCGTCATTCATCCATTCAATCTCTCCACAGCATTTTATTGATCAAAATCTCCCTTCCAGAAGGCTGGTTTTAATGCCAATGATTTGTATATGTTTTTTTCGTTGAAACTTCATCTGTAGAACTTATGAACTTTGAGGGTTATTAATAATTTTTTTCTGCTGAATCAGGTCTTGAAGATGTCAATCTTCTCTTTGGACCCACAGAAGGTATTGTATTATATCTTCACTTTAAATATTTCCTTTACTTTTTTGTGGAGATGATAGTTCTGGTTGCTAATTTTGATCCATTAATTATGAAACTCCTAGATATTTGAAAGTTAAGCCCCTTCTTGCAGGCAATGTTAAATTGTAGTAATTATTCTATTAGTTTCTGCAATGGTATTGCTGGATTTTGAGGAAGATTTAATTTTTTATTATATTCTATTACTAGTTTTTTCTATTTCTAAAAGTTAGAATTATTGGTATGTCTTAATTCATATTTCCTTCTTTTATTTTGTGAATTATAGCCGATGTTATTAGTCTTCTAATGTGGGAGACATCTCCCTTTATTTATCCTGCAATCATTTCTATGAAAGTGAGGAGAAAAAATTATTTTTCCCCTCCAAGACCTACATGGTATCAAAGCTGGTTATCGCCTTTGAAATCGCAATCGAATTCCGTTGACTGGGTAATCCATGAGACTTGTTGAGAGTGGCTTCGCTTCACTCCGCTTTTACCCAAAAGCATTGAGGAACGTGACAATCTGCTGGCGCGACCTTCCTCCGTCGAGGTTTCCTCGTGAGATCTTCCTCCACCAGAGTTTCCTCGCACGATCTTCAAAGTTTACCTTGCATCGTTTGTGGGAAGCTCTGAATTCGATCGCTCCTTTCTCAGCTATTTTCTATGGCATCGTCGCAGGGTGACTTTTTTCTGAACCAATGATCTATTTGTTCGAATTTGTAACTGTAGACACTGGAGATGGGTCATTGATACTGCCCTACTCTTCTCAAGCAATAATGCTCGAAATTCAAAGAAATTCTATCAGATCGACACAATTCTAGTAATTTCGAACTATCTCACCTCACCCCATAGCTCCTGTAATGGGTGTGTTGGTTGAATATTTTTCTCAGAATTTACCACCTTACCTCATAGTTATAAAACTTAATGGATGCAACTACCTCGAGTTGGCTCAATACATAAAATTGACAATCAACGGGAAACAAAATTGGGTATTTATCCGTAGAAATTTTAAAACCTATTGCTAGCGGTCCAAATATGAAAAAATGACACCCCGAAAATTCTCTGATAGTGACATGACTCATTAACTCCTTAGAATATATTATAGAAAAGCCTCATCTATATTTTTGCACTGCACAAGATATCTGGGAGGCTGTTTGAGATCTCTAGTATGACTTGAAAATTTTTCACTAACTTTTGAATTGAGTACTTAACTTTGAAAATCTAAACAAAATGATTGTGATGTTACTACGTATTACAATGAGTTGGTAACACTTTATGACAGGAGCTTGATTAATATTATGATGTTATTTGAGAGAATTCAAATGATTATGCTTGCCATAAGAAGAGATGAACATTAACATGTTCTTAGCTGGACTTAATCGGAGTTTAAATGAAGTTCGGGGCTTGAATTCTTAGTAGGAAACCTCTACCTTCAATTCGATAAGTCTATTCTGAATTTAGATGTGAAGAGTCGAAAAAAAAAATTATGATGTACAATACCGAATCGTTTTATGACATTGAACAGAAGAACTCAACTCTTGTGTTAAAAATGGTTGATACTAACAAAAATGACAAAATTATGGTGTGAATATTTCAAAAATCATGACACACAAATGAGACATGTTGGAAGTTTTATTGTAAACTTAGAAATTGGAAATCAAAATTTAAGCGTGAAGTTCGAGCTTATCAAACCACTGCTGAAGACACCTAAGAACTGCTTGCTAACTCGAATGCAGCCCCTTTTATTGAAGGGCAATTGTAGCACTTGCACAATTTATTTCAATATCCGATATTATCCCTAATTTCGTCTTGCTCCTTAGTACAGAAGAGTAACTCTTTGACCACTTATCTGTTAGGAGTTATTTCTAATTTCTCTTATTAGTGAATAATTGATTCTTGTGCAATTAATCACATGAGTGGTTGTTTTAAATTATTTTTCTCCTATATACTATATGTAGGCAATAAAAATGTCAAAATTGTCGATTATTCCCACTCGGTTAACCCTTCGCGATGTTCTCCATGTTCCTAATCTATTGTATAGTTTGTTGTTCATTTGTAAAATTACTGCTGATAATCAATGACAACCTAACTTTATTTCTTCTTGTTGTGAGATTCAGGAATTGATCATGGGGAAGATAATTGACAATGCTAAGAAAAAAATTGAACTCTATTATTTTGACGATACACTTGACTCAAATAAACAATATCAAATTATTGGTTTAAATTCTGTTTTTAAAGGCAATAAAATTATGTTATGGCATAATATGTTAAGGTCGTTCTAATTTTTAATATCTAAAATACTTGTTTCCTAAATTTTTTGAGAATATAAATCTGTCTTTGTTTTAATGTGAATTTTATCAGTTTGCTAAATATCTTCGTATATAATTTTCTCTATAAGTATACAAATAAACAACATAGTTTACTCTGATTAACAACGATATCTGGGGTTCTTGTGAAAATATTACACATCCCTGGAAAAAAATGATTTATGACTTTCATTGATAATCACACTAGGTTAAATTGAGTTTATTTAATGAAAGAAAAATATGAATTAGAAGTTATTTTAAAAACTTTATATACTATGCTATACATAATTTCAGAAACTCATGCAACTTTTATTGATTGAAATAGTCGAGAGTATTTCAAAAATATTTTGGGTCAATTTTCTCAAAAAAGGAATAATTTATCGAAGTTTTTAAGTAAACACTTTGCAACAAAATGACGTTAAAAGAAAAAATAAGCACTTATTAGATGTTACTTTGGCATTATTAATTATCAATTAGGAGCCTAAATATCGTTTTGGTGAAGTCCTTTTTTACTACTAGATTTTTCATAAATAGAACATCCAATAAGATTTTAAAAATTGAAATACCTTTTAGTATTTTTTAAATTTTTTTCCAAAAGAATTGGCTTTCATCTTCTTTATCTCTAAAGATGTTTGGGTGTGTAGCTTTTCCTTCTCCTTTATGATCAAGGAAAACTTGAACCTCAAGCAAAAAAATGTGTCGGTTACGCTTCTAACCAAAATGGGTATAAATAATTTAATACAAATTCTAAAAAAAATGTTTGTTACCATGCAGTCACTTTTTTTGAATTATAATATATTTTTTTTTTCACCTCATCTCTAGGGGTAACAAAATAAAGATTTGTCCACTGAGTTTCATAATTTTTTTTCAAATGAAGTCTCCCAAAATAGTATATCACCAACATTGATTGTTCAACCTGAAACCCCATATGAGTCTTTTAAATTTCTAAGTTCGTATAATGTCATCTCATGATGTTCATCACAAAGATGAAATAGGAAAAAATACGACCGTGGTACCATTTGATATTGTCTACTTGTGGCATAGGACAAACCAAAAGAAATGGTCTATGAATCCTTTGCATTAATGTCATCACTAATCATTTACCTCATGTTCAATCCACTTCAACTTTGAGTCTCGAGTCTTCTAGCCCCGAATCTGAGCCTAGTTCGAAATCTGAGTCTAATAAGTCCAACATTCCCATTGGGGAAAGGTCTTGATCCTAACATCCATTGTCCCATTATGTGTCATATAAAAATCTCTCACCCATTTTCTGTGCTTTTATCTCATAATTATCACATATGGAGATTCTTAGTACTATGTAGTATGTTCTGAAAGTAGACTATTTTTCGAGGAGAAAAAAACTAATGAAAAAAATGGTATGTGGGAATTGGTTGATCTACCTAAAGGAAAGACTACTGTCGGGTGTAAATAGGTGTTTATAGTTAAGTATAATTCAGATGGTTTTCTAGAACAGTAGAAGGCTCGATTGGCTGCCATGGATTACTCAGACATATGAAATTGATTATTTTGGGACATGCACTCCAATCACAAAATTGTATCATCTAAGTTTTCTTTTGTCACTTGCAGCTAATCTTGGCTGTTACCTTTACACTAGTTGGATATAAAGATTGCCTTTGTCAATAAGGATTTGAGGAAGAAGTTTTTATGAATGTACTGAGACATCTCCCTTTATTTATCCTGCAATCATTTCTATGAAAGTGAGGAGAAAAAATTATTTTTCCCCTCCAAGACCTACATGGTATCAAAGCTGGTTATCGCCTTTGAAATCGCAATCGAATTCCGTTGACTGGGTAATCCATGAGACTTGTTGAGAGTGGCTTCGCTTCACTCCGCTTTTACCCAAAAGCATTGAGGAACGTGACAATCTGCTGGCGCGACCTTCCTCCGTCGAGGTTTCCTCGTGAGATCTTCCTCCACCAGAGTTTCCTCGCACGATCTTCAAAGTTTACCTTGCATCGTTTGTGGGAAGCTCTGAATTCGATCGCTCCTTTCTCAGCTATTTTCTATGGCATCGTCGCAGGGTGACTTTTTTCTGAACCAATGATCTATTTGTTCGAATTTGTAACTGTAGACACTGGAGATGGGTCATTGATACTGCCCTACTCTTCTCAAGCAATAATGCTCGAAATTCAAAGAAATTCTATCAGATCGACACAATTCTAGTAATTTCGAACTATCTCACCTCACCCCATAGCTCCTGTAATGGGTGTGTTGGTTGAATATTTTTCTCAGAATTTACCACCTTACCTCATAGTTATAAAACTTAATGGATGCAACTACCTCGAGTTGGCTCAATACATAAAATTGACAATCAACGGGAAACAAAATTGGGTATTTATCCGTAGAAATTTTAAAACCTATTGCTAGCGGTCCAAATATGAAAAAATGACACCCCGAAAATTCTCTGATAGTGACATGACTCATTAACTCCTTAGAATATATTATAGAAAAGCCTCATCTATATTTTTGCACTGCACAAGATATCTGGGAGGCTGTTTGAGATCTCTAGTATGACTTGAAAATTTTTCACTAACTTTTGAATTGAGTACTTAACTTTGAAAATCTAAACAAAATGATTGTGATGTTACTACGTATTACAATGAGTTGGTAACACTTTATGACAGGAGCTTGATTAATATTATGATGTTATTTGAGAGAATT